GGGGGGGGGCTTTGTGTGTTTATATTTGTGGTTTTGTATTATTTAGTTTTTATTATTATTATTATTTTACTGTTGGGTGGGGCTTTAGGGAAATATTTGGGGTCTAAACAGATGCCTGATATTTTCTTTTTGAAATACGATAAGAAATTGAGGATGCTGAGTCTGGATTTTTTTTCTTTTAGCTGTCATAAAAAAAGCTAAAAAGCCACTGATGACAGCTATTATTTTACAGAGGCCTGTCAGGGGAACTATCCTGGTGTAGATTCATGGTCGCTAAAGTGATCATGATCTCACACAAGAACGGTAAAAGCCACCGACGTATGGTATATTGACGTGGCCAGCTGCAAGCGTTTGTGTTCCACTGTATGCCATATGTCGATGGCAGCTAATGGGTTAAATAGACCCACCACCAAAATGTAGATAAAAGCATATAAAGTATTTTAAATGCTTACTTGCAATGTTTTTCCTTTCCATAAATTATGTTTTATTCATATGCAATGTACCTTTACTATTCTAGGGGAGTCAGTTCCCTAACACAGCCCTCTCCTTCCACATCATATCCCTCTCCTCCTCTGGGAGTATTTGTGTACTCTCTGGGCTGGCACAGAGAGTCCTCCTCTGCCCCTCTCATCACCTCCCTACTTAAGATTTTATGCATGTGCCAGGGGAGGAGCAAAAAGGAATACTATTGAGTGCCACCTGAGTGACCGCTCTGAGGTGACTGAGGCTGTTGCTACATCCAAGATGGTGTCATCCAGCATCAGTCTTGGAACTTTGGAGGTCTACAGAAAGGAGACTATTACAGGTAAATAACATGCGTAAAATACTTGATATGCATATAAAATCTTATGCAAAGATTTTTCTTGAAATGAATGGTCTGACGACAGAGTCTATATGAGGATTAATTTAAGAGTTAAGATTAGGTGGAGGGGTATAGTTAAATTTTAGTTATGTTTGTTGTAAGAGGTTCATTTTAGTGTTAGATTATGGTTTAGGAGTCCATTTTTAAGAGAGGTTAGGTGTTCAGTATTAGGGTTAGATTGTTAAGGGCTATTTTTATTTTGATTGCTAGGTTATAGTTCTAATTTACATTGCATATAATGATAAACAAAAGGGTGGATTTTCTTACACTGCATTGATGAGCAGGTTCCATATGCATCCCTCAAATGGTGGAACACCCTTGAATATTGCAAGCTGAGCATCAGATGGTATCCCACCAACAAAGAGCTTCTTCACGCTTATTAAATGACCTGCTGGCAGCCTTAGTGTCTGGCTTCTGTCCTCATCAACCTGCACGGTAAAGATGCTAAAAAGATAAAATACAGAAGTAATTGGAATTACTGTTTGACTCATATACTGTACAACAATATAGTATCATAGTTTTTACTCCGAAAGTGTTTGCACTGGGAAACATAACTGCTAGTAGCCTTTATATTAACCAAATTAGAAAAACAACCCGTTGCACAGCAAACAGCAATAACATTTTCAGCTAATTATCTGATCTCTGCTTTAGGAATGCCTTTAATGTCGATTCCATCTGTTTTCCATGTGCCATTCAGGAAATGAAAATAGCTTTGGTATAGTAGAATCTTTACTCGGCATTGCTAAGTTACAAGATTAGACACAGTTGGCTTTAAAACAGCATGGGAGATACATCTGTTTGGATTATTACATCCAGAAGTAAGCGGCCTCCTTTGTCACTGAATGACAAATCAACACGCTTCTGAATATTCACACAGCGGGAAGCGAAGCTAGATGTATATTGGATGTAAAATGTGATAAATTTACAGGTACCTGTAGAGGGCAATACAAGCAACCTTGTTCATGTAAAATAAGTAATTGCATTGTTCTCTGTTCTATTAACTTTATAGTTTGAATAAACAAGAACAGGATTTTCTTTCATCCTAAACTCTGGCTAAATACCAGCGTTAGAAACAGTGTTTTTCTAAGATTTAAGATATTATAGCCACATACTCATTTAAAATGCATGAGAAAGAAGTTATTCTAGCAAGTTTATCAGGCTGTGGGAGTAAAATTGCTGCAATTTTGTCTACTTAACAATGCTATTTATTACAATCATTCTAAAGTAAGGTGAGTGTGATTGTTAAAAACAAAATCAAGTACATGGAAAATAGCTAATACACCTGCATAAGCAGATTGCTTTCAGCTATGTGTATAAATTGTTGAATATATTAAATCGAGGGAGCAACCTCACATAGCACCCTGAAGGTGGCCACCAACACTAGCAAATTATTTCACATTTCCTTTTAAGATTTCAGCAGCTGCCTGCTGACAGATTTATTTTATGTCCCCCACCCCATCACCTTTTTAATGTGCATGATTTGCATGCTCTACTAGAAAGATGTTCAATTTTGCTATGATCTTATGATCTAGTCTATGAAACAGTGTTAAATTAACCAAAGAGAGCTAAAACTTTTGCTTGTTAACTAGATACATTGACTTTTTTTCCATCAAAAATAATACATTCTTGAGGTGAACAGATATAGATATAACTATGGCAAAGTAAAATCAAGCATACATTAATGGCTTTAATCCTGCCAAGAAAAGTTCAAGGCTACTATCACTTACTTTCTTGATCTTTCAATACGGATTGAGTGCTCTTTGCCATCGTGAAATTCTCCCTTCTCAGGTCTAATCGTTATTCTATGTATTTCTTTAGGTCCAGGGATAGAAACCTCCAACCTTCCTTTTCTTAAGAGAACTGCATAAAATACCTGAAGTATAAAGAATGAATGCAGATATGATGGGTACACTGGCACAAGATGTAACCCTCAACAGCCAAAAAAACCTCAATTTGATTGGCCAGAGAACAGTCACATGTCCTAAATTAGCTTAGTTTTGAACAAAATTTGCACAGATCCGAATTTTTGTCAAACGAGCTTTCGGATTAGTTCGCATTCAGGCACATTAGAATTGGGAAATTTGGATGCATCCGAATGTCCAAATTTAATGAAACTCATATGAATATCCAGTCAGAACAAACCTTTTTTTCAGTCACCGCAATATCAAGTCACCCCAGTCTAAAATCTAAAAAACATAAAGGTAAAGAAAGATGTGTGGCCTTATCTCAGATAAGGGTCTGGAATAATGGATGTGTACATTCCCTTCAGGTCCCCGCATGGAAGCTCAGTGCGATGCACTGCCGTGCAGTGAACTGCTGTGGTATCCAACGTGTTGAGATAAAATCCAGCATATTGGCATTTCATCGCACCACCCTACCCATAACATCTGCATTGTGGTGTGAATGGGACTGTGTGAATGGGAGGTCTGAATGGGGCACAGCTTACCTAAAGTGGCAAGCACCAACACTGTCCCTAAATGGTGCAGTGTCTCCCCCTCAAGTGGTGTCCATGGCTTGTGCCCTGCCTGTCATACCCTAGATACGCCACTGGGGGTTCCCTCCACATCAGGGTCTCCCTCCAAATCAGTAGCTCTCTTTCAAAACAGAATCCCCCCTTTCAAAACAGAATCCCCCATTTACACAAGAGTCCCCCATTACATCAAGAGCCCCCTTTACATTAGGAGCTACCTCCATTCACATCAAAGTTAGCCTTCACATCACAAGCCATGCTTCACATCAGAAGTCCTCCCTTTCAGATCAGGTGCCCTGTTTATATCAGAGTCCTCTGTCCCCCTTTACATTTTACATCAGAGTTCTACGATTACATGAGGAGCCACAGCTGTGGCAGCATGACAGAGGGCACAAGGCGGAGCAGGCCTCAATGCAGGCAAACTTTTGTCCTTTCCTGAAATAATCCCATCCTGCCTGGATTAGCGTAATTCTTTTTCATGGTGCTGGAAAACATGAGGCTGTGGGAAAATTTCAAGCCACCCCTGAAAAAGCCAGTAGGCACCAAAGTGTGCCACAGCAACCTGGTTGAGAAAGGCTGAGATAGTCTACTGATATTTTCTAGAGTTTTCTTTTGGCTGTTAGGACTTAATCTTGCAAAAAGCCACAAAGTTTAATACGGAACTTCAGGCAAACAGCTAAATGCACAATACATATACTATATGTTTACTCTTTATAAAGGTTTTCAATTCTACACAGTTAGTCTGTGATTCACACAATTTGACACACTGCACTGCCAGAAAAGTCATACTGCTATTTCAGAGTTCAGCTTTACTGCTTGCTGGATCACCTCCCTGCCAACAGTGAAGAGGAGTTCAGCCTGATACATTGCTCAGTAAGTAGAATGAAAGTAATGGTAATGTAATAGAGAAAATTGTATGGATGAGCCATGAAAGAAGTGTGTCAACTGACACCAGCTATGCAGATGTGTGTAAATAACAAAGTTGTGTGAAAAGAATTAAAATTGAATGAATTGAATACAGCATTGAATATATTACCTGTCCACTTTGCCTTCGTCTCCTTCTTGGAGAAACAAGATTGCCACCATTCCCAATTAAAATCATTCCAGATTCATTTTTAGTGCTAAATGACAGTGTAATCTCTGTCCCAGGGTCCAGTGATACTGGTGGTACTTCAATATATCCGGGCTTTGCAAAACTTACTACATATACTCTCTGAAAAATAAAAGGCAAGGTGTCTATGGGGTGTAATTTCAGATTACTAAAATCTCAAAAAAATTCTGCAGATTACCCTTCCCTTGATAAGTCAACCTGTAACAGTAAAGAAATTATTCATGTATCTATGTAATTAATGGCTCCCAGTATACAAATGATTAGGCTGCATATACACTATATTGCCTTAAGTATTGGGACGTCTGCCTTTACACGCACATGAACTTTAATGGCATCCCAGTCTTAGTCCGTAGGGTTCAATATTGAGTTGGCCCACCCTTTGCCACTAGAACATCTTCAACTCTTCTGGGAAGGCTGTCCTCAAGGTTTAGGAGTGTGCCTATGGGAAAGTTTGACCATTCTCCAGAAGCGCATTTGTGAGGTCAGGTACTGATGTTGGATGAGAAGGCCTGGCTCGCAGTCTCCGCTCTAATTCATCCCAAAGGTGAGGTGTTCTATCGGGTTGAGGTCAGGACTCTGTGCAGGCCAGTCAAGTTCCTTCACCCCAAACTCGCTCATCCATGTTTTTTTGAACCTTGCTTTGTGCACTGGCGTGCAGTCATGTTGGAACAGGAAGGGGCCATCCCCAAACTGTGCCCACAAAGATGGGAGCATAAAATTGTACAAAATGTCTTGGTATGCTGATGCCTTAAGAGTTCCCTTCACTGGAACTATTGGGCTCAGCCCAACCCCTGAAAAACAACCCCACACCATAATCCCCCCTCCACCAAACTTTACACTTGCCACAATGCAGTCCGGAAAGTACTGTTCTCCTGGCAACCGCCAAACCCAGACACGTCCATCGGATTGCCAGACAGAGAAGCATGATTCGTCACTCCAGAGAACACGGCTCCACTTCTCTAGAGTACAGTGGCGGCGTACTTTACACCACTGCATCCGACGCTTTGCAATGCACTTGGTGATGTAAGGCTTGGATGCAGCTGTTCGGCCATGGAAACCCATTCCATGAAGCTCTCTACGCACTGTTGTGCCAATCTGAAGGGCACACGAAGTTTGGAGGTCTGTAGCTATTGCCTCTGCAGACAGTTTGCGACTTCTGCGCACTGTGCGCTTCAGCATGCGCTGACCGCACTCTGCCATTTTATGTGGCCTACCACTTTGTGGCTGAGTTGCTGTTGTTCCCAGTTGCTTCCACTTTGTTATAATACCACTAACAGTTGACCGTGGAATATTTAGTAGCAAGGAAATTTCATGGATGGACTTATTGCAGCGGTGGCAACCTATCGAGGTACCACGCTTGAATTCACTGAGCTCCTGAGACCATTATTTCATAAATGTTTGTAGAAGCGATCTGCATGCCTAGGTGCTTGATTTTATACACTTGTGGCCATGGAGGTGATTGGAACACCTGAATCCAATGATTTGGAGGGGTGTCCCAATACTTTTAGCAATATAGTGTACTAGGAACAGAAAAAATGACAGAGATAAATTCCATAAGCTCAGACCCAAAGGTGCACTACTAAGCATTAGATTCCCCCATTTCATGAAGGTTTACTGTAGTGTAGTTGAGGTATTTTATTTGGATGAGCTGATCTCTAGAAGAAATAACTATATCGCAAATTGTGTAAGTGGCCTCTTTTGTCCTGAGCCAAAGAGAGAATATCTTCTTTACAGTACTCCCAAAATATAGTCAGAGAGGTGGTTTTGGATTCAATTAGCAAGAAAACAACTTTCTTTGTTTCTTGTGGTTCACTAAATGGTATTATATTTATATTCAACGCCTATAAGGCCATACTTGCTGTGAATATCCTGTTTAAGTTTTAGATAACTGATTCTCTATTTTATACCCTAGAAACAGAATCAAATAAGGTGCAATGAATAACCAAAACAGATCTTCCTTAACAAGGCATGTTCTCTTGTGTTTCATGTACATAGCTTAGCCACAAATATATGCAAAATCTGAAAAGTATTTTCTCCTTAAAGTGGAACATGAAAACCCTAAGGCTTGTTCACACCAGATGTGTCACCCACCATGTTCAGGTGGTATGCACACTGCTGTGTGGTAGTGTGCACTGCTGATATGAACAGGCTCTTAAAAGTCTGGCTAAATATGGTCAATAAACAATTCTGCATACAGTTATACTTTTTAATGTGTATGTTCTTTACAAATCAAATAAACATAAGTACAATCTGCAGTTACTGGGTTCTATATACTGACAATAAGTTGAGCTTGACTACTTGATGACATAAATAATAAGTGAAACAAAAGCCAACACCTTTTTGGAATGAAGTGTAAAATAACCTTTGTCAGGTTTTCATCTGTATCTTGGTCTCCTTTTGTGAGGATTTCCCCTCCCTTCATGTCACATTGATGGTGCCAACCAAGTAAGAGGAGAATTAGAAGTTCTATTGAGATTTTATTATTATCTGTGTGCCTAGTGGGAAATTCCCTCTTAAATCCTGTCTCACTTATAGTAGTCTCTGAGACAGAAAGTAAGGGCAAATCTCTCCAGTCTAGACGCAGGCAGCAATTACAAGACCCAATGGAGGCTATTTTTGACTGAAGTTCACTTTAAAGTATATATAAAGTCATTTTGTCTTTTGGATAAAATGTAAAGGGTTAATTTTTTATTTAGGCAATTTCGCTTCACTTCCTGTGGGCACAACAGAGAACAAGAGGACATTTCTCCAAAGTGAGAGAAATCCTCTCTTGGATAGTTTGTCACCACAACAAGTATCTACATAGATTACCCCTCTATTTATACCAGTGGCACCTCAAACTTTTGGATTTTTACTTCCTTTCAGTCTTGGTGTCAATTGGTGTCAATGGGTATCAGGACAAATAGAAAGGGTACATCTCCTGCAGCAGAAACTTAGACAGTAATAAAAAGTTGACAGCGTTGGGGGCGCTAGTGAGCAGCCGACTAGCATGGACGTCTGCTAAAACGGCTCCACACCACCCGGGCGTGTGATCGACTATAAACCCGATCATCTCCTCTCCTACCTGCACCCCACCTTACCACCTCCCTCCCTCCGGCACCGCCATGGGCAAAAATCAACCGCCGGCCTGGTCCGAGCAGAAGACGCCGGGCTCCTCAAAATCGCGGCCTGAATCCAAAATGGCGGCCGCTCCGGCCTCCCCGGCCGGCCACTCGCCTGAGCTGCTGGAGTCAGCAAACGACTCCTCCAATGATGGATTCTCTCCTCAGCCTTCAGAATCGCAACAGGGGACCGAGGTCAGAGATGCAGCCCTCCTGGACAAATTTAAGGTACTCCTGCAGAGGGAGCTGAAAACTGCAACTGACAAGCTGGCCACACAATTATCCAAAGGCATTAGGGAGCTGGGCACCAGAATCCACGACATTGAATACAAGGTGGATGACATTGTCACAGTAATTGACTCTCATGAAGAAGACCTACACAATGTAAAATCTGACCTTTCCACCGCCCTGCTTAAACTTGAGGACCTGGAAAACAGAAACCGCAGAGGTAACCTTCGCGTTAGAGGGGTACCCGAACACGTGGACGATTTGACATCCACCGTCACGGCCATGTTTCAGGAACTACTCACGGGCTACCCGCTGGAACGCCTCGAACTGGACCGTGTGTACCCCATCCCTACTGAAATGCAACTGTGCATTTCTCCCCATGGCTCAGCTTTGGTGCTGACGTGGACAAATACTATCCTTTGCTTTCTACCTGTACTTTCTCCCCCTCCCTCCTTCTCTCTCCTCTCCCATCCCCCCGGCACTGGGCTCGATCTGGGAAATCCCCTGTCACCCAAACCACCTACTAGGCACTGTCAATACGCTCCATCTCCCCGCACAACCGTAACACTGACTGCTAGACCCCTTAAAATTATTTCACACAATGTGCAGGGACTCAACTCTCCTCGTAAACGCAGACTTGCTTTCAATTACTTTTCATCGCACCAGACCAACATTCTGTGCTTACAGGAAACGAAATTCTCCACATCCTCACGCCCGACTTACTTTCATAAAAATTACCCACAGGTCTTCCAAGCCCTATTTAGTGAAAAAAAAGAGGAGTCCTCATTGCCTTCCACAGAAACACCCCGTTTGTATGCTCACATGAAATAGCGGACCCCACAGGAAGGTATTTACTGCTACGGGGCACAATCTTTGATGTGGAGGTAACATTGCTCAAGTACTATGCGCCCAATACCCACCAGACTCGATTTTTCTCCCACCTACTAGCAGTTGCTGATAAACATAGGAAGGGCACCCTAATAGTGGGCCGGAGACTCCAACCTAGTCTTGGACCCTAAACTTGATAAGTCGGGCCCACACACACCCAATGCCCCCCCACGGCCCACTTCTGCTCTGTCTCCCCTCTTCCACACTCTCTTGCAAGACTGTAACCTCATAGATGTCTGGAGGGACCGCCACCCAACCACTAGGGATTACACATTTTACTCACACCCCCACGCCAGCTCCTCCCGCATAGACCATATTTTCGTACAACCAAGTTTTCTCCCATCCGTCCTTGATGCCCGTATTCTCTCTGCCTCCTGGTCGGATCACTCCCCGGTATCTCTCATCTGTAAATCCCTATTTCCTGCCTCCCCTCAAGTTAACTGGAGACTGAATGATTCCCTCCTCTCTTTTGCCGACTCGGCTCAACATATTCAATTGTGCCTTTCCCGCTTTTTTGCAGAAAATGCACTATCCGTTACTTCCCCGATTTCTACCTGGGAAGCCCACAAAGTAACTCTACGAGGTGAGCTCATCAGTCTGGCCTCCCGGCAAAAGAGGGAACGGAACAAACGGGTGTCTAACCTCTCCTTGACGTTGGGGAGGCTTGAGTCTGACTGGAACATGGCCCCCTCAATCCCCCTGTGGAAAAAGATCGACTCGGTCCGATTGGAAGTGAATCTCCTCTTAAATGACTCAGCGGAAAAACAGCTCCGTTGCACTAGATGCACGTTTTATGCGTGCGCCAACAAACCTGGCCCCTTAATGGCCAACATGCTAAAATCTAAACCGAAGGCCAGGCTCCGCCTCCCCAATGGTAACACTACG